CAATCCCCGGGTTTTTGGGGGTGACAGAGCCCGGTTGGGGTGTTTGGGGTGACAGATCCCGGGTAGGGGGGTGACAGAGCCCAGCTGGGGTTTTTTGGGGTGACTGACCCCAGCTGGGGTGTTTGGGGTGACAGACCCCAGCTGGGGTTTTTGGGGTGCGGGCGATGGCGGGGGGCTCACCGGGGCGCTCTCCCCGGCGCGGCGCACGCGGAGGCTGAGCTGGAGGAACCCCTGGGAGCGGCCGTCGCGGTGTTGGGGGTGCTGAAGGCTCAGCCACTTCCAGCTCAGGCTGCGGCCTTGGGGACACCGCGGGGACACCGCTGGCACCCCGAATTCCCGGCCAGGAACCCCAAATTCCGGGACAGGAACCCCAAATTCCCAGCACAGAACCCCAAATTCCCGGCCCCGAACCCCAAATTCCCAGCACAGAACCCCAAATTCCGGGACAGGAACCCCAAATTTCATATCCAGAACCCCAAATTCCCGGCCCCGAACCCCAAATTCCCGGCCAGGAACCCCAAAATTCCCAACCCCAAAATTCCGTGTCCGGACCCCCAAATTTCTCATCTCGGAACCCCAAATTTCCCATCTCAGAACCCCAAAATCCGTATCCGGAACCCCAAATTTCGTGTTTGGAACCCCAAAATTGTGTCACCCTGAATATGTCACCCCGAATGTGTCACCCTGAATGTGTCACCCCGAATGTGCCACCCAATGTCACCCAGTGTCACCCCGAATGTGTCACCCAGAATGTGTCACCCAGTGTCACCCAGTGTCACCCCAACCCTCTCCTCACCCGGGGCAGAGTAGACGGTGCCGATGTCAAGCTGTGGGAACGGCAAAGGGGGTGAGTGCAGCGACACCCCAAATCCAATCCCAAATCCCAAATCCCAAATCCCAAATCCAATCCCAAATCCCAAATCCAATCCCAAATCCCAATTCCCATTCCCATTCCCCGTTCCCCATTCCCATTCCCCATTCCCATTCCCATTCCCATTCCCAGTTCCCCATTCCCATTCCCAGTTCCCCATTCCCATTCCCAGTTCCCCATTCCCATTCCCCATTCCCGTTCCCCATTCCCATTCCCATTCCCATTCCCCAATCCCATTCCCAGTTCCCCATTCCCCATTCCCATTCCCGTTCCCAGTTCCCCATTCCCATTCCCAATCCCATTCCCATTCCCATTCCCAGTTCCCCATTCCCATTCCCAGTTCCCATTCCCATTCCCCATTCCCCATTCCCATTCCCAGTTCCCCATTCCCACTCCCATTCCCAGTTCCCCATTCCCATTCCCATTCCCAGTTCCCCATTCCCATTCCCATTCCCAGTTCCCATTCCCATTCCCACTCCCACTCCCATTCCCATTCCCATTCCCGTTCCCATTCCCATTCCCATTCCCCATTCCCCATTCCCATTCCCATTCCCATTCCCAGTTCCCCATTCCCATTCCCATTCCCATTCCCATTCACCATCCCCATTCCCATTCCCATTCCCCATCCCCATTCCCATTCCCATTCCCATTCCCCGTTCCCATTCCCATTCCCAGTTCCCATTCCCCATTCCCATTCCCAGTTCCCAAATCCCAATTCCCAGTTCCCCATTCCCAGTTCCCATTCCCATTCCCAGTTCCCCATTCCCGTTCCCGTTCCCGTTCCCGTTCCCGTTCCCGTTCCCGTTCCCGTTCCCGCTTTTCCTCACCTGGAAGACGCCGATGATGGGTTTGATGCAGGCGTGGGGTGAACGGAGCACCTGGGGCAGGGACGGGGACACGGCTGGGCCTGCGTCCGTCTGTCCGTCTGTCTGTCTGTCCCTGTGTCTGTCCGTCTGTCCGTCTGTCCCTGCGTCTGTCCGTCTGTCCTTGTATCTGTGTGTCCATCTGTCCTTGTGTCTGTGTGTCTGTCCTTGTGTCCATCCGTGTGTCCCTGTGTCTGTCCACGTGTCCGTGTGTCCCTGTGTCTGTCCCTGTGTCCCTGTGTCCGTGCGTCCGTGTGTCCCTGTGTCTGTCCATGTGTCCCTGTGTCCGTGTGTCCATCTGTCCCTGTGTCTGTCCCTGTGTCCCTGTGTCCGTGTGTGTGTCCGTGTGTCCGTGTGTCCCTGTGTCTGTCCGTGTGTCTGTCCCTGTGTCCCTGTGCCCGTGTGTGTGTCCGTGCGTCTGTGTGTCCGTGTGTCCCTGTGTCTGTCCATGTGTCCCTGTGTCCGTGTGTCCATCTGTCCCTGTGTCTGTCCCTGTCCCCGTGTGTGTCCCCG